GGCTCCCAAGCAGAGCTCCTCCAGCCCTTGCAGCCGCTCTGTGGCCTCCTCTGGCCTCGCTCCAGCAGTTCCATGTCCTTGTGCTGGGGGCCCCGACACAAGAAGTGTTTCATCCCATCTGCTCTGCTGCCAGATTCTGCTGAGCCCAGAGCTGCAGGGTGGCCCCACGGCCAGGCACAGTGAGGCAGCAGCATTTGAAACCTTGTTTGCTCAGCTCCCTCGCTGGAAGAACTGCTTGGGAAGCTGGCTTCCCACTCTGTGCCCCCTTTCCAAGGTCAGCAGGGACATCCCTGCAGCCAGCAAGCTGATGTGGCCTCCCAAGTGCTGTCACCCTGTGGGGTGGGTGCTGGGTTCTGCCACCCATGGGTGCTGGTGGCTCCAGAGCAGAGGTCCTTCCCCACAGTTCACTTGAAACCCTTCATCCCCTCAGTAGCTTTGTGTTTTGAGGGGCTTTCTGAAGCTTCCCTGCATTGGGAAGGATTTCCCAGTAGGGCCCAGGAATCCCCTTGGGATGTGCCCATCTGCTGTAGTGTAGAGTGAGAGGCTGCAGAGGAGCGTGGAGGGACCACGCTGTGCACTTGGGGCCACACCAGCTCCCTCTGGACAACTGCTTCTTCCCACTGACCCCTGCTTTGAGCTTTCTTTGCCATAGGGAAGTGGCAGCTTCTGCCAGCTGCCTTTCGCAGGCAGAGGTTGGGTTCCTAGCTTGGTTTTCATGTCTCCTCTGTAGATAAGAAGCTCGTGGTGGCCATTGAAGGGAATGTAGAGGAAGCCAAAGCCTTGTACAAGCCGCCTGAGGACTCGCAGGGTGAGTTGGGGTGGTGTTGCCTCTCTGCAGGGAGAGGGTTGGCTAGAGAAGCAGGTGGGTGATGAAGTGGTGCAGTGTCAGAGCTGCTGGCCAGAGTCCCTGGCACCTCGTCCCCTCCACCCCGAGCTCCTCCTTGCAGAGAGATGCTCACAGCCTGTTGGAGTGAGCCCTGGCGCTGGGGATGTGTTTCTGGGTATCTGCATCCTGCTAGGGCCCTGCTTTGGGGGGACGGTGATGTCTGGGGGAGCTGGGCTCTTGGAGAAGGGGCTAGTAGTGCTGCTGGTTGTGGGGAAGCTGCTGAGCCCAGGCAGCCCCAGTAACCCCCCTCTCTCTGCACAGATGATGAAAGTGATTCTGACGCTGAAGAGGAGCAGACCACGGTGAGGGATAACACTATCATCTCCTGGTGACACCATGGGCAAAGTGGGCTGCGCCTGTTAACTGGGAGGTGCTGGGGGGGCTGGTCCCTACATGCTGTGAGCACGTGTGGAGGTGCACTGAGTCAAATCCAGCCATTCCTTGGGAGGAGAGAGGTGCCATTCACAGTTTCTGTCCCAGATGCAGGAGAGACAGGGCTCTGTGTCCCACCAAGCTCACATCCCACCTGGCAGCTCCTGCTGGAGCTGCTCCACTTTGTATAAATAGCCTGGGGCTGGAGGCTGGAGTCCAGCAGGGAGGGATCAGGTCCATCCCCTGCTGTCTGCCAGAACAACTGACCTGAACTCTGCACCAGGGGTTGTGTGGTGCTCCCTTGGGCAGGCATTTAGGTCTAGGTTTAGGGTTGGAGGCTGTAGGCACTGGCTGCCCCCAGCATGAAAGCCCAAGGAGGTCTATGCCACCACTCCTCACCACCCAACAGCAGCACCCACTGTATCAGGCTCTTGCTGTGGGGAAGAGCAAAGGGAAGGCCCTTGGCTTCTGCCCCATGTGATGGGGAAGCTTTTGGGGCCAACAGGTCCTTGTCCTCATCTCACAGGGATGGGGAAGCTCCTGGGAGCTGAAGGAACAACAGGAACCATCCTGCTTTGTCCTCACCCTGCAGCAGGATGCAGGTTTCCCCACCTCCCTCCCCAGGCTGCCCAGTGCCTGCAGTGCTGTGGCTTGGGGATGTAGGCTAGAGGCAAGGAGCAGTGGGAGAGGAGGGTGGGCACTGAGGAGCAGGAGGGGGTCTGGCAGCTCTCTCTTGCCCCCAGAAGCGGCGCAGGCCCACCCTGGGCGTGCAGCTGGACGACAAGCGCAAGGAGATGCTCAAGCGTCACCCTTTGTCTGTCACAGTCGACCTCAAGTGCAAGGGTAAGCAGGGCCCTTGGTGGAGAGGGTGTGTGAGAGCACACAGGGAGTGACTCAGCAGCAGCTCGGGGTCCTGGGGGAGAGCTCGGGATGCAGAGAGGCTCTCCTGCCCTCAGCCCTGCTGCTGCAGCAGGGATGAGCACAGCTTGCCATGGGAGACTGAGCAGGGTGGTTTGTCAGCTCCTGTCACCCCGTGCTTCTCGCACCCACGCTTGCTCTGAAGCTTCCCCCATCGACTTGGGAGCTTTTCTCTTTTGTGGTGGGATCTTTGGCCTGGCGAATGCTGCTGGGATGGTGTTAGAGGGTGCAATGCATCGGCTGTCGGTTACTCCCCACATGGCCTCTCTGCCCCACACGCTGTTGTCCCAGCAGAGGGGCACATATTATCCCCTTTGCAGTGCTCCAAGCTAGAGCAGACAGCAACCCTTCTCTGTTGGTGCAGATGACAACGTGCTTCATCTGACCTTCTACTACCTGATGAACCTCAACGTCATGACGGTGAAAGCCAAGGTGACCACTGCTGTTGAGATGACAACCGCCATCAGTGCCGGGTGAGGAGATGCTCTCTTGGCTTGGCCTAAAGGAGACCCAAAGAGCACAGCTCCATGTTTGCCTCTGGGAGACCTTTCACCTTGCACATCCTCTGTCCTGTGCAGTCCTTCCCTTTAGCTCCCGGAGCCCTGCCAGGCTGCTGCAGCACAGGCAGCATCCTTCTCCTCTCCTTCTGTCACAAGCCAGTGGCAGAAAGCATGGGAATGTCTTAAGGGAGTGGTGCCAGCCCTGTCAGGAGCTGGGGGAGAACCTCTCTTGCTTCAATCGCTCTCTTGCAGCCAAACTGCTCTCCTCCCTCCTGCAGCCTGTGCCTGGCAGCTCCCAGTCCCTCCTCACTCTGCAGGTCACCTTGTCTTGAGCACCAGAAATGCAGCTGCCTCTCCCTGTGCTCCCAGGAGACTGCTGGAGCCTGATTTGTGTGAGGAATAGCTGCAGTGGCAGCAGAGGGGGCGC